TTCATATTGATCCTGGTGTATGATTAAAAATATGACTGACTGAAAACAGAAGGAACTCAATGGTCTATGTAAATATTTTATAAAATACCTTGACTCCCTGACAAACACGATTCCGGTTTCTATCTGTAGCCTTATATGCTTTATTATAGATAATAAAAAAAATCATTGAACTTTTAAGATAAGTGTTGTAAATTAAAACAAAAGTATGTAAAAACCAAGAAAACACATCTACAGCCAAGTATTTTTTTTTAATATTAATATTTTAGCTGTACACGCATTTATTTTTAAATTAAGCCCAAAGATAAGTTAATTTTATATGCGTTTTCTAGATGGCGCGATATCTGAGGTCGTCCAACTTGCATCTTTGAGCTCGAAAACAAGATTATAGGTAGCGAAGACCATTAAGTCAAAAAAGTTTTGTGTCCACAAATTTATGGGCGCAGAATAACTAATAAGAGATGACTATTTGATTGTGTTTACATATGTCCTTAATCTTGACTAGAGTTAACAATAAATTTAAACAGTAAAAAGAAAAAAAAATGTATTCCATTCGACCTGATTTCTATGTAGGTTTAGCTAGAACTGGTTTAAAATATGTCAATCCCGTTCAAAACTATTGCGGTGACTTAGATACAATCATTATAGTAGAAATGACGATGCCATTTTCAGTCAAAAGTTTTTACAATTACAAACTCAGTAACAATAGAACACGCATTTAGTTCTAAATAGCGTGTACACGTATACAAAGGTCCCAGTTGAACTACTCAAGAGGTGAAATATATACAGACAACATGGTGCTCCAGGGTAAGTGAAGTCTAAACTAGATTGAAATAATGAATGGTGTCACTACAGTGCGACAGTCTTTACATATAGTGACAATGTTGTAGTTTCAACTACTGAAGGAAACTGTAAGTGACATGAAGCTTACATAACTCCAAAGCTTCTTTCCTGAAAATCTGAGCATAAAGGTAAACACATGCGTTAATCGTTTAAGAAAAGACAACATTCCATTAACGCCTAAGGGTCTGGTATCTAACATGTAATTTGTCACATATCAAAACAGCTGTTTATTTTCAGGCATTAAAAAATGTATTTTTGTTCACCAGTAAAGCAACAATGCATAAAGAAAATTTAGTTAAACGCTTGCAAAAACCTGCAGGTTCCAAAAAATGCTGTAAAATGAAAAAATAGCGAATTATCGCTGAATCATCTCCATCGGATCATAAATATTAAACAAACGTTTATATATATATATAGTTCGCCCCCCAGTGGCATAGCGGTATGTCTGCGGACTTACAACGCTAGAATCCAGGTTTCGATACCTGTGGTGGGCAGAGCACAGATAGCCCATTGTGTAGCTTTGTGTTTAATTACAAACAAACATACAAACAATATATATAGTTCTAAGAATGTTGTTGTTCTTTTTCTTACAACCCACCCCTAACCCCTCCAAAAAAGGGCATGCGGGTGTTACTGGGTTCGTCTTTGTGTGGGTCTTTGTCAGGAGTTAGCAGAGCTTATAATTTAGATCGTGTCTATTAACATAAGTAACTCTTAAACCCGAATAACCTAGCGGTATAATACAATGAAACTTCAACTACCCATTGAATGAAAACCATCCAAAATACCTTGCACATGTGATAAATGGTAATCGACCACTGACCCAAAAGGAATGTAGCACTTGATCCACGTACTTGTCGTACTTATGCTTGTCTAACTGAGAGATCTTTCTCTGATAAACATGTAACCTGCTATAGTGTATAAATAAAGCATACAAAAGAGCTCGTTTATTTTAAAACAGTTACTCGAGCTTGACAAAAAGTCGTAAGTTCGATAAAAATTTAAAATGTCCGTCAGAAGTACTGTACCACCATCAAGAAATTATGCTCCTGAAAATATATAATTATTTCAAGAAGTGTTTGTTTGTTTTTATGCGCAAATCTACATAATGAGCGGTCTGCGTTGTGCCCTTCACAGGTATCAAACCCTGATTTTTAGTGCTGTAAGCCAGCAAGCTTACCGATGAGCCACTAGAGGAATTTGAAGAAGTTAATTCTGTGCCTGTGCGGGATTCAGCCATATGGCTCTCGTATAGTATCAATGATTTAGCCAACTAAACTAGACTAGAGCACAACTCATTTCACTGGTTAATAAGGACGGCCTTTTCAGTTTTGGCAATTGGCTTGCAAAGCACAGAATTCGATTATTATAAGGTTTTATTAGAAGTGCTGATATCAAGGGGTTTAACTGTAAAATGTAGGGACGCACGGGTACCCGCCCAGATATTCGGGCTACCCGGTAATACTCGGCTCCGGCCGAGTGTCGAAGTTAGGCATCTAAGCCCTAATCTTTGTGGCAACTAACGCGGTACTGAAAGTTACAGTTAATAATTGGTTTAGATATATATAAAAAATAACAAAAACGTGTCCGAGCAACAAAAACTGATCTCTCGCTCAAAGTCTGGGGAAGGTGGGAGTTTTGAGAACAATAGGGGTTAGGGTTTGAGAAGCTGGGGCTAGGCATTGAAAGTTGAAACTAAAACTTGAATATTCTGTTGGTGATTATTCGGTTAAATGTAATAAACGTCAATTTATTTGTTTCTAATTTTTGTGTATGTTGTTTGTCTGTTTGTTTCTTGTTGTTTTTTGGGGGGCAAGGGGAGAACTCGGGCGCGGTTGACACCCGTCCCCGACCAAAGCTTAGTGACCGGGTACCCGGACCCGGTATTCAGCCAAATCTTACTACCCGTGCATCCCTAGTAAAAAGTAAAACTTGGCTTGTATCCTGTTAAAAGTTAGAAACTTCTTTATTTCACAAGTCGGTTCCACCTGTAATAATTCTTAACGTTTCTAAGAAACTAAGTTGTTATGGTACAGGATGACGCAAACAGCTTCTTGTGATAGCGAGAAGTTTGGAATTCTTAGATTATTATACGCTTGACAATGTAACTTTGAATCGTGGGTTTTAATTGGCAAGGTCTAAAATCGCACCTCTTCACACTAGAACAATATTTCATACAACTAGAGCAGATATCTATTGAAATCTATTTTTCATGTGAATGATTTTACACCGCTGTAGACAGTAGAGAATCTAAGTGGCTTTGAATATATTTCGCTTTTCATCTATATAATTAAAAAACTAACTTATGTGTGTGCGTGGGATGCTTTTGAAACTACATTAAACTCTGCAGAAATGAACCTAGATTTTTTGGGTTTTAATTTCGAGTAAAGCTACTTGAGGACTATCTGCACTAGCCGTCCTTAATTTTGAAGGAAGCTAGTCAACATCATCCACCACCAACTCATGAGCTACTCTTTTATTAACGAATAATTGTATTGACCATCACATTATAACGCCCCCTCCCACCAACCGGGTGAAACAACGAGCATGTTTAGTGACGGGGATTCGAACTCGCGAATCGAGCACCTTAATCACTAGGCCATGTCAAATCCTGTGAAATTATGAGTAGAGAAGCACGGTCGATTTCACCATATGTGTAAAGAAGAGGTGGATGTAGATAGTACTGTGCATTGCAAATGGAAAAGTACTAAGGGATGGATCTCTCATCCCGCAGAGCCCATCTCAGACAGCAGTGTTTATGTGTTAAGGTTTTCTGTGTGAATTTCTTCGTTTGTTTATGGACATTAGAGTACCGGTATTGTCACACTGTTGAGTTTTAATACTTCCCCCCTCCCCGATACCCAGGTATTGAAAGAGTCGTTAGATCTGGTGTCTCTTACTAGATAAATCGATCGGTTTTTCATTTTTGATCACACCATTCGGATCAAAGTTTTTTTTGTACTAGAAATGTTTGGTGGGTATCACGTGTTGTGATACAGGTTTAACCTCGCAGCCATTGAGACGCCCCGCACGACCATCAGATTTGTTCAGAACTATAGTACCTAACCCTTTATATGACTAGTTTAGACTAGTCAACTGTTTTAATTACTATAAATACAAAGCACTGCCTTTACATTTTAGAAACTTTGTGCATTCAAATACAAAATACCACATCAAAGAAATATATATATATATTGTACACGAAGCACGAGTTTCGTTATATAATGTTAGTATATTTGTTTTTTGTAACAGTACCAGGCATTTGGTTTATTTTAAAATTAATCTCTGTAGCCCATCTACCGAGAAAGTTAGAATCGATACATACAAGTTGTGGTACCGTGTAGTTTAATGAAATAGACTTTCGTTAGATCATGAATATGAAGAACACGAAATAAAGTAATATTCTTTTATGTAACAGCGTGTTGCAGGGGAGAATTTCGCATGTTCAAAATGATTCAACATCACACAGCTTTTTTGAAAATGAATTAATCGAAAATTGAATTATATTACAATGTATAAGTCTATTGATACAGAATTAAAGATGAATATGCGTTATTTCTATATCCAAGTTGACTTGCTGAAATATAATATTTTTCATACCTGTATTAACGGAATGGAGTTAAATCATCTTGTTGCAATATTATTCACAAAAAACGTCAAGAATATCTTCATTGTATTACGAAGTACCTTTATTTTTTGTTAACATGGTTACTTTCAAAGAAACAAGTTAACATGAATATTCCTTTGAGTCCTTGAGTGTTTGTTCAGACAGGAGTAGCCCAAAAGTTGGGAGTTACAGTTAAGTAGCTGCCTTCTCTTTAGTCTATAAATGTAAGTTTGCGCTAAATTTCTGAAAAAGAAGCAAATACATTTTATACTTCATTTAACGGATTAATAACTCTCTTAACCCTCGTATGGAAGTATACCATTCGTCTAAGAAGTTTCAAAATCTTAGGAATAAAAGTTTAGAAACAAACATTGATCATTCGAGTATTTCATATTCAAACTCAAAACGAAGAAAACCAAGATTAATAAATTAAAAAAGCAAAAGCCTTTATAATGGATGTCAAGCCAGGAAAAAAATCTTATAAAAAACTTACTGTATTATTTTGTTTATAATTATAATTTTTATTAACCCTTCCTATCATTTTTTTTTCCAGCTGCTATGGGAGTTGATCTACCTGATTACATCCTTCACTATAAGGGCGGATGGCCTGACCTGTCATCCTTCAGAGAACGGATGCAGAAAAGCGGAAGAAGATGAATTATGTTGTTTTTTCTCGGAAGGATGAATCAATCTTCTTGGTGTATTATTCTTAATATTTAATCAGTGTAGAATATATTCTTATGTTTCCCATTATGTAAAACTGTCGAACATGTACGATAAAGAATATTTAAATAAATGACACCAACCTGCATGTATATAAAACCCGATGCTACAAATGTATGTTTATTATTTTTTTGATAGACAAACCACAACTGTTGCCATCTAAAAAAGTATCACTTAAAAAAATAAGTGAGTGGTGCCCTCTGTCGGGAAAACAGAAACACAAACTTCTGTATAAAAGCAGTCCTTGTCGATCAGCTTTTTTAAATTCATTTTTTTTTGTAAACTACTCTTGAACCAACCAAATTTCTTGTTGATCTATGACGTTGTTGGTACAGTGTTTCTAATAACTCACGAGTCACAAACATTTAACAACTGTTCCATCAAGATTGCTATTAACCTCATTACCTACTGTGTATTTTAAGTAGAAAATGAATGGTTTCATCCTCTTTTTTTTTTCGTCAATTCTTTACAGTGAGAGCATTACGTATACTCAACTGGTATAAACAAGTTGGTAATTTGAGGGTAAAAAATATTAGGTATTTAAATCTTGACGAAACCAGTAGAACCAACACTACATTCTTTTGCAGGTGAAACATTTGCGTCACTTTTTTTTTGTTTGTTTGTTTCAATTATTAACTTCAGCGACTATGCAAAAAAGGAATAAGATTAAGTAGTTTTCAAACTTTAAAATTTTCCAAGGTATCTTACCTAAAACTTATATCTTGTTACCCACATTCCAAAGCTTGTGAAAAAAAAAATGTCTGTGTAGGAATGTTTCAATCATGAAACACGCCTTGGAGACACTAGCCGACAATAACGCTTGTAAATGTTTTCTGGGATGTTTCGGGAAAATGGACAACATACGACTTTGTATTTGTAAAGACAAAAATCTTCTTCTTGTGAAATAAAAAGACACTATACTGAAATCACAACATAACAAATGATAGAATAAAGAAGACAGAATAGGGTAAAACTTTCAATTTTCGATCTAATTCTCACTTGAAGAAACTACGCAGTTTTCTGCTTTTACTGGCTCTTACGACCTACTCAATATATATCGAAATCGCCTAAATTCACTCTCAGTCAGAATAAAAGTTGTGGTTGCAGATTTATTTTTGTTGTTATTAAGCACAAAGCTACACAAAGGGCTATCTGTGCTCTGCCCACCCGGTTTCTAGTGGTATAAGTCCGCAGACATACCACTGGGGGCAGTTGCAGATTTTTAAAAAAATCGTTGAGACTTCTGTAATTTTAGGACATCTATTTTATCGGCAGAGTTTTAAGGGAACAGATTAATCCCAACACTTTCAAGCACTTCTTATAACAAAAGTAAAATATCTTAACTTCACGTAATCAGTTGGAAAACATATATAACGCTTTTATCTTTATCTAATGTAAAAAAATCACAACTGACACTATTGTACTGATATATTTACGTGACTATCACAAGTAGCTTTGGAAGTGACTCTTTTTTTATCTCTGTGTAACAACAGCAGAGTGTAAGTTTGTTCAAATGTTCAAATCAAATTATAAAATTCCAGCTGAAGTGAGAGGTAGAGAAATGTGCATCTCTTTTAGTCTATGACGGCCAGATTTTAAACTGAATGCATACCACTATGACAAAGTTGTGATAATTTACTCAATACTAATGAATCATATAAAAGGTTGAGTAAGTTACATTAAAACGATTTGGAAGCAATACTACATCGATACAATCTTTAAATGTCGTCACGTCAAGTCATGCTTTATCTGAGAATCGCCCTGTAGCATAGTTTCCATTGCATTAGGTTCCTTCCTGAGTCTGTCATGTACAAAGTACACCACACCTTCCTTCTTGCTTTCCATAATCCATTTAGTGTACAAGGACAACGGTTTCCTAGCGCTAGTTTCAACCGTCCGATCACACAGAAATTCATAGGTAACTTTAGCGTTATGTCTCCATATGAAATAGCATGAATACCTGATTCATTCTCTAAGGTGTGTGACAGGTGAACTGGAGGTTTGATTGGAAGCCTTATCTGGATGAACCCATATTCCTTTGGCCTCATTTCCAGACTGAGATCCTTCTTGATTATGCTGTGTACTTTTGCCTGGAGCAAGTGGACAGCATTTGTTACCGACCTTTGTGTTCATGGATTCACCACTGTTACATGGCGCCGTGCTTTGCTTACCAGCCTGGGGTATGGCCTGTTGTATGTCTCTTTTTTAAATGGTCCTGGATCCTCAAGTCGATTCATATTCCTTTGTATTTCGATATCATTAAGTACAAGGGATATTTCCGTCTTGAAAATTCTAAATCCCTGATCTGAACAATTTTCATGGTCTTAGCATATCGATATTTTGTGTCGGAAAGAGATTTTACATACCTTTCCAAAAAGCATCAATTTTCGGTGGCGTCACACTATCCACAAAACGCTGTATTGTTTACAAGGTTAAAACCTAGTTCTGATACATGTCGTTCCATCGCAATTTTGTATCCGCTGTGGTTGTCACGCGATTTGCTGAATTGCATATTCAAAATCGTTTTAATATAACTTACACAACCCTATATTTGTTTGTGAGGTTCTTATTGACAGTAAACCCGAAAAGTGGGGCACAAAAACCACCAGACATCCCACCTTGAATATCGCTTCGTAAGTACAAGTTAAGGAAGAAATTTCTCAAACTATACTTTCTACGATTGTTTGTCTTAAGTATAAAAGAACGTTTAGTGCATTAAGTTAATTGTGGTCCACTAAAAATTCGATTAGATTTGGGAATTTGTCTCACTTCATCTAGAAATAGATGAAACAATATTTTGTATGTTTGACTTATCCTTTCTTTATATCACGAGTTCCCCCTAGGGCACAGCGGTATGTCTGCTGACTTACAAAGCTAGAAACCGGGTTTCGATACCCGTGGTGGGCAGAGCACAGATAGCCTTGAGTAGCTGGGGTCGGTGTGGCCTGGTAGTTATTGGGCCTGGACTGTCACCCATTAGCCTAATTATGCGCTCTGTACTTTAGGACCGTGAATGCGCTATAAGAGTGACGGTCAAATCCCACTACTTGTAGTAGCTTGAGTGCTGTTGACTAACTGCATTCTCTCTAGTCTGTCAGTGCAGTTTCTAGAAAAAATCTGAAAACAAACATTTTATACTGCAGGAAATGGTTTAATATTACTATTAGGCCACTTGAGGAATTTTATCATTCATCTGATAAGTTTCAAAATCTTTGAGATTATGCCGGCAGCTTCTCTAATCAGATAATTTGCTAAATTGCGTTTAAAATTATGTTTCATATCTGAAAAATCTTAGTAAATAGTATTGTATTTTTCACAATAGATATAAAGTTTATTCTCAAAAAGCTTCTTTTTTTTTAATTACACGGAAAGTAGTATATATTTATACTTATATTGTGTTGAGAAAGGCTATATTCAACTAAAACCAAAACATAGTGCACTATACTCACCAGGCAGATGCAGTCGATAAATTTTTTAAATGCAGCACAATCTGCTCTACCTAACTCTCCTGTAACAGCAAGTTATACAGTTGACTATGGTGTATGCCTTTATATCCTCTGTCATTACTTCTTCCTGAGTACACAAGTTATATTAAGTCTCTAGCCCTAAATCAATAACGAACTGTCTAAAAGAAAAATGATTGAAAATGTTGATCTAAAACACTTAAGTACTTCGTCAGATACGACGTTCTACAAAGCGATAGATTTTGAGTTATCACTGACGACAATCAAAAATTAATGGGTATTAAAATTATTTAACAAACATTGTCAAAAGAAGTTCAGAAGAAACGCATGAGATATGTCATTATGGAGTTCCCAGTCATCAATCTAGTTAGTAAAAAGAATATCCATACAGTGAAAAAAAAGTGTAAAACGTGTCAGAGTGAATAGTTTTTCTTGGAAGAAAAAGCATTAAATGAAAATGAATAAATGATGTATTAACTTGCGAAATAATTCTCTCCTTTAAATAATTTATAACATTTTGAGTATTGCCTCGTTTTTGAAATATAGAATCACAACACAAATGTTTAGAACAGTTTTATGTTCTACTCAAAATCAGTACAACTTCAAGCTCATAGTCAGGATTTTATCGAAATAAAAATAGTCATGAAATAGCTTTCCATTGTGGTATTGCTTTGACTTATTGACATGTGAAAATTAGACAAAATATGGTATCAAACTGCAATATAAAAATTGATTAACAAAACATTTTTAATTTTGAAAATCATACATGAACCGTATAGATAAGGTGTTTTCAATTTCCTATAAAAATTTAAAGATGCAGGCCACTGTTGAGATGAACGTAGTCACATTGTTTTCGATGGCCACGCATTTGTGCTCCCCGTGGTCGCATTGCAATATCCATGATACGTTATTGTTCCAAGACGAATAGTATTCATTTTATTTAAGTTTGAACATACAACTAGCTGTATAAGAATCCTGTAAAGAAATCAATAAAGTAAACAATTCTTAAAATTTACACCCTTAATTAAAAAACAATACACCTAAACTTAAGGCCCACACGTCCCTAATTTAGAACTACTGAACCAGAGGAAGGGTAACCTTTGCGACTACTCTTAAACGAATAGCAGGATTGACTGCACAGTTACAATGCCCCTCACAGCTGAAAGTACGGAGCGTGTTCAGCAGAACATCGGGGCTCGTACTTCGGGTCTTCTGGTACGCAGTTTTGCCCGCTTGTCACTAAACCAGTCCGACACACAAAATAAGTAGAACACTAACAGAATGCTTGTAAGAAGAACAAATACGCTAACTTAACAAAGTTTGCAGAATAATTAACATTTTTATAAGCTTGCCAGAAGATATGCGTACAAACTAAATTATTTTATACACTCAGTTTCCTTCTAGGTTTGTTTATTTAATAGAAATCCCCCCCATAGGTTTATCTTTACTTTTTTATTTTTCAATCTCCAGGTAAAACTAATATTCCAACCCCAAATGCCATTTTTCAAACGAATAAATGCACTAAACGTAGAGTGCAAAATTTTGTTTTTAAATGAATATTATTTTTGGTAATGTGACAAGTGTAATTTACATTTCAGTACAGAATTGTGGTGCTGTAGGTCTTATACAAAATCG